GGCATACTGTTCTACTGCCTGAATTAAGTCATAGGCGTAGAACAATTATCTGTGCACTTCTTTATTTATCACTTTGATAGTTTTTATAGGCCGTAACGGATAGTCCGAATTCACTTCCTAAACTCTTATTTAAAACGAAACTAACCCTTTCTAGCTATGCCATTGTTGATCGCTGCACACTATTGACAAGGTTGCTGAAAACTCTCCGACAGCCCCCAAACCGGGTTCGCTATCTTGGAGCTCGCCATTTAAACGCAGTCCCATAGTTTCCCTCGGTCTTATGTTTTACTTGAACTCGAATTGGATCCAGTCGGGCACCCGTGAAAACCAAGTTTGTATGCAGCTGAGGGAATTTGGCGAATTGTTGATTGTATTTCGATATAACAGGTGGCTTCAGGCCTCCGCCCGCAATGCCTGCAGAACTGACGGACCCAGTATCTCTAAGCAGGTTTTCAAACCGAATCCATGTCAAAAGGTTTCGATCGATTATCGAGGTTGTATGACCCGAAAACTGCAAAAATCAGGTCGAACAAATGTGTATTTCGCCGAACACGTGATACAAGGTGTACATAGCGTGTGTAGACAAACTGTACAAACCAATTGTATCGGCTGTATACCACCCATCTACCCGATCGAATTATCAGGTGGACAATAGTGAAACGTTCGAAACCCAGCGTGGGAATAGCGTGCATTTGTAAAATCTCCACGTTCAATCCAACTCCCACAACGTTTTTCGCCGCTTGAGGATCAACGTGGATGCGATGTATGTGGGTCGAGAGCTTACCGCTACATGAATTCGTGATTTACATGCCATGGCGCACTACCTGTCTGGTACTCCGTCTTATCACAATGGCATCTTGCCACTAAGTGGGCAATGAAAGCTCACTATCGTTTTTAAAATTTCATTCCATTCCGTTTTGGATGTGGGCTTTCGTGGGAGTTTTTTCAGAAATTAACAGTATTATCTTGTGTGCTTCATGGTTCGAATTCATCGTCCTTCCACTATACGTTACTTAGATTTCAAATGTGCATGTTCTACTTTCCGAATCACTAGCTGAACTCCTATACAGTTTCGTAGATTCTAACGTACATGAAACTATCCTATCACCGGTCTGTTTTGAACATTTTTGGGCTTAGCTCCTGACGCATCTCCTGACTTTTTTCAAAGAATGTGCTGCTACAGTGGTTCCATGAATTCCCAATCACCCACTTCAGATCAATTTTGCACGTCCGTTAAGAGCCGCATAATCATCGGCACCGACAGCATAACATCAATGTTTAGCACTGAAGCTTTGCTGCCCTACAACCACATTTTATTTCAAGGCCTTATTGTGAAAAAAGAATGAAGGTGGATGGGGAA